AAAATGACACATCCCAAATTTCATCCACAACCAAGCTACATTATTTCACAATGCTGTGAAAATTATTGAAGTGGATAAAATTTCAATTGTGGAAGTGTCAAATGAAATCAATAATTTAAAAACAAAATTGCTAGAAAGAATTGATAACGATTATGTTCCTTTAGTTATTCGAAGGCACATCACTAGGTTGGAAGAACAAGGTACCATTAAACGATCTGATTTTCTGAAAGAGGTCAGAAATTTTTATAACTGCTTGGAATATCTTGAAGAATGGACAGTTCAATTTGAGGATATAAAATATTTTCATTGGGTGACATTTAAAAAGGAGATTTTATGGGAATATGTGGAAAAGTCTTTTTAATATATTAGTAACCATTTTCCGAAAAATAATATTTTGCGAAAATGATCTTTTTGACGAGGTGTCGTTGGTAAAAATATACGTTACTGAAGAGAAAATTAAATGTTCGTTGTCTGCAAATGTGCAAACAGACAAAAAATGGACGGAGTTATTCCTTTATTTTAAACAGAATAATATTCTTTATGAAAATATTTTGAAAACTATAAAACATGCATTCTTTCTTCCAGGAACAAATGCAGCAATAGAACGTGTTTTTTCTAGTATCAATAAAATATGGCAATTGAAAAAAAAAAAACAGTTGAACAATAAAACTTCAAAATTTGACATTCAAAAGTCTTTAATCCGGATGTCCATAATCCAGAATGATCTATAATCCGTACCTCAAAGCTACAAACTTTCTGTGCATGCGCATAATACGTTTACGCATGCACGTTTAATGTATAACGGACAGTATAAGCTAAGCTAAAATTATCTAATTATCTATTTCAGTTAATGTTGCAAATTGTGTTGTTCCTTAATCTTCAAATTGGATCCAGCTTATTATTTTTTGCAGACTGTTAGAGCAATTTTATAAAAAGTAAGCTTGAACTTTTGATTATGTCAAAAAGAGTTTCCAATTCTGGAGCTGCCAAAGGATCTACAAAGCAAAAGCATGTTTCGATGTCCATTAAACAAACAGTGGAATTGCTGCAAAAAATGAATAAAGGCATGAAGAAAGTGACAGTGATTTGTTTCTCTAACCATTCTGAAATCTGTTGATCAATTTCACGCTGCTGTGGGGGGGGGGGGGCGACGTCGTGGCGTGCAATGAACTGGAAGTTGATCTGTCAGCACTATCCTCATCTTCAAGGCAGATGTTTTTATTTTATTCAGCTTATAATTCCTCAATAAATGTAGTGTTTCATCTCGATGTACTCCAATATAATTTAAATCAATTTCCTCGTCATTATGAAATATCACAAATATGCATCAAATAGTTTTCTGGTTGCAATTTTCTAATTTCGACTATGTGTAATGTATGCTTTACGCATGCGTGCATTGAAAGAAATGTTTAATAAAGTAAACAAATAAATGTTAAGCTTTTTTTTTTTTTTTTTTTTTTTTTTTTTTTTTTTAGTAAATTTTGCTACTTTTTAGATCATAATTGCTCTTATTTCATAAATTATGGTTTCATATTTTTAATTTTATAGTTTCTGCATGCCATCTTACCAGATTTAAACTGATGATCTATAATCCGGGAAAACCGATAATCCGGAATCGACGAAGTCCCGATGAGTCCGGATTAAGGACTTTTGACTGTATTAGCGTAAAATATAATTTGACCAATTCATGTGAGAAATTTCACTACATTTTAATAAATGATCCAAATGTATTGCAAAGTATTCACTTGGATAAAAAATATGACTGCAAAAGAAAACCATAAATTTTTTTTAATTAATTAAAAACATAATATTCAAATTATAGTTTTTTATAAATATTTTTACAGTTACCAATAGTTAATTAGAAATATATTTTTGTATATTTATAGATAAGTAAATGAATGTATACAATAAAATACATTTTTTTTAATTATTGGTCTGCTTTCATAACTAAATTGTAATTCTCATTTAATTCGATTTGTCTCGCTTTGTCTCGATGAAAATGTGGTTACTTTACCTTAAGACTTCTTTGCCATTTGCATCTGTGTAAAAAATTATTAAATGCTAAAAATACAACTAAGTGTATTTATTTTCATTTGTAGCCTTTATATCTTTAAATCTCAAAATATATTTCAAAATGTGTTGATATTTTAAATTAAATTTTAGCAATCTCCATATTTAAATATCCCAATCTGATTCTCCCTTATCATTGTGATGCTTCAAGTGGATTGTTTTCTCTAAAATCAAAGGAAATAGATAATTGGCATGGAAGAATTCAGTTGCAAGCCCTGGAACATATTATCAGAAAAAAATAAGCACATGTTCTTTTAAACATTACTTTTTACTAAGACATTTAAATTCATAACACAAAAAAAGCTGTAATTTCTCCTCTTTATGAGGAGGGTGATATGGAACAGGACCACCTCAAGGAGTGCTTTAAAGTCATCAACATATTTTTGACAATTCCTAAGAAGCTAATTTTGTTTTAAAGACTTTCTATTAAGTTGCTTGTTACTTATGGCAGAGATGCTAGTTGCAGGCTTAGAATTAAAAAATATATACAGTGCAGAATCCAAATGTCTAATATCCAGAATGATCTAATTTCTGGACCACCAACATTTTTTTTTTTTTTTTTTTTTTTTTTTTTTTTTTTTTTTTTTTTTTTTTTTTAGAATTATATTCCAAAAGCAGCATCTTACTTTAGCATGTGCGTAATGCTTCACACATGCACAGTAGACATTTTTTAATAACAAAGCATGTGGATGGATTCTTAATTTCACTTCACCACTAAATAAAACATCTCTATGTTGAAGAAATATTATCATTTATCATCAATAAGACTGTATGATCAATAATTTGGCTTGGTAGCTGCCTTTTTGCTTTGCATACAACTCAAACTGAAACATTACTAAAGTTCACGGCTAATTTACTTACTGAATAACTTTTATCCTTGGTGCTAATATCGCAAAAAATTTTTTAAAAATTTTCTTTCATCAGCACATGACTTTCAATTCACAGCAGCTTGAGAAATGACTCACATAGTGATGTCTAAAACAGATTTTTTTAAAAAAACATTATTAATTGAATGCCAAACAGCATGGTAACCTTTTATGTTGACATTCCACCTGGTAATAATTACAGATTTCAGCCAGTTGCACGGAGAAGTGTTGAAAGTGTTGATGAGGAGAAATTATATAAATTTCTTTTCGTATACAAAGAATAGATTTTGAAAATATAAATAGACATTCATAGGCCAAAAGATTAGTGCTGTTTGTTGTGTGCCTTTAGTGCTATTTGAATTAAGAAAAAAGTATGTATGGGTATTTATATATTTAAGACTTAGATAAGTCATTAGCACATGTGGGAAATATACATAAATATAATAACTACTTAAACTAATATAATTCATTCTCTAGAGTCTGCAGCCAGAGACATTGGACTTATGAGTGCAAAACAAAATTTATGGCAGTAACTAGTAGAGTATATAATCCTTTCCCACTGCAAATAAAGTCTTATACTTCCCAGGGTGTTTCTCAGTTTATGTATCTCGGTACTATCATTTCTAATGATGATAAAATTAAACTTGAAATTGACAATAGATTATTTAGAGCTAATAGATGTTATCATGGTTTAAAGAATTTTTAGCATCTAAATTATTAAACTTAAAATCAATCTGTATGAACTCTTATTAGACCTATCATATTGTATGGTAGTGAATGTCTGCTATTAGCAAACACAGATGAAGAAAGACTTCTAATTTTTGAAAGGAAAATACTGCAAAAAATATATGGTCCAATTAGAGAAAATAGGTGGAGAATTTTATTTAACCATAAAATATATAGAAGATACAAACAGCGTAATATTGTCCTAGTTATCAAATCTTACCGTATCAAGTGGCTTCGACATATTGCTAGATGTGACAGCTTGAACCCTGTCAAATAGATGGATGACCTATGCAAATCTATAAGGTACCAGGAAAAGATAAAGACCTCGCACAAGATGGGTAGACTGTGTGGAGGCAGATCTCAGGACTCCAAAAATCAGTCATTGGCGGACCGTAGCGCTTAATCGGATCCATAGGAGGAAGCTTGTTGAGGTAGCCTTGGCCTGTGATAGGCCGTTGTGCAACTGAAGAAGAATAAAATAATTCGGGCTCAACTTTCTCAGTGTCCAATAGAGGCAAGATAAAATTTAACAGAATAATATGTCTGTAGTCGTCAGTCTCGGGGTATGATTGCTAATAGTGCCACTAGTATATAAGGGAAGCAAAGATTAAGAACCAGGACCTTTCACATACTTTATTGTGAAAAAAATATCTACCACACATGTGGGAAGCATTAAGCATATACTAAAGTGAGATGCTACTGTCAGAATCTCTTTTCTTTTTCCAAAAAAAAAAAAAATTGTTTTTTTTTTTTTTTTTTTTTTTTTTTTTTTTTTTTTTTTTTTCTAAAAAAAGAATGCTGGTGATCCGGAGGTCCAGATATTAATTAGATCATTTCAGATATTGACATCTGAATTCAGACTTGTATGGTATCTAATTAAAAACATTAAATACTTTTGTAGAATTATGTATATATTTTTTACCTTTTCAAACATACAGAAGATGTATAACATTCTTGTGTTAGTGTAACCTGAGCCATCTCTGTTGATGATCTCCATTAAATGTTAAAATAACCCTTTTGTCTGGATGCTAAAATCCAAACCCTTCTAGATTTTTTTAATTTTTATTTTTTTCTTTATTTTTTAAATTTGTTTTCCAAATCATTGCTATGTTTTCCTTTTCCATCTTTAAAAAATATATTTATTTAAAAATTTGTTTCATAACAGTTTATATCAATATTTGTAACTGTTACGCAGTTCTGAAATGTAGTTACAATTAATGTAGTTATTGAAAAGCATTTCCAATCTTATATATTACTTCAGCTATGGGATAATATTATGTTTGTATATTTGCACATATTTTATACCAATTTCATTATTGTTATTACTGTTTAATTTAGGCAATTCTGTCCAGCTTTTGGGTACAAAGAAAGTTTCCGGAAAAAAACTTGGTGGTGCTTCCCTACAACTGCCAAAAGTTAGAAGAAATGAGTTGATTGAAATTATTCCTATAAATACTGGGTAATTTACTTTGACTGTAAAATCTTTGTTTAAACTTTATGATAGTATTTGCATCATAAATAAATAATCAAATTGAAATGAATGTCATCAATAAGTTGGCATGTTAATTTTTGAATTGTTGATGGATCTTTTTTCCATCATATTTAGAGTAAATAAATGCTAAAGTATGTTTTTCTTAATCTTTCTTTTCTTTCTTTCTTTCTTTCTTTTTTTTTTTCTTTTTTTTTTTTTTTTTTGTTTTTTTTAAAAAATGTTTTAAGCTTATGTATTTGAAATTTGTAATTTTTTGGGATTATGAATAATTTAATGCCTAATGATTTTTTTATTATCGCTACTACATGGGTTCTCAATGGGGGTTTCATAGTTTCAAGGGCAGTATACAGTCAGCCTTTTATTTACCTGTTTAGTATGTAGTTTTAGTTTATGAATATAAAAACTATTTTTATTTAAGTTTTAGTATTTTTCAACATTTTCTAAATTTTTTCTCATTTAATTTATAAAATACATTAAAAATAGTCTAAATCAAATAAAAATAAGTGCATTTATTGAGTTTGGGGAAGAAGGGGGTAGAATGATGGTCTAGTGATGGTGAAAAAGGCTGTATGAGGCAAAAAGGTTTTAAAACCCCCACTGCATTATTTATTTACATTCTTTCCACATTTATATTAAAAGATTTATGCTTAATTTCATCTCTTATACTGTTTTTTCTAATTTTTTTCAATTATTATAGTTGTCTTAACCAATGTACTTATTGCAAAACAAAACATGCTAGAGGGAAACTGGGAAGCTATCCTGTAACAGAAATTATTCAACGTGCTGAACAAGCAATCTCAGGTAAGAAGTAAAATATTATAATTTGTTAAGTGATTTATTGCATGTGATGTTTATTCTGTAAGATAAAATTTAAATCACTACTATGTTACTTAGTCACAAAGTACAGTTTTGAGGAAAATATATATACATAGTTCTCAAATATATATAATAGTTCTCAAATATATATATTTGAGAAATATTACATTGCAGATAATACAGGATTAAGCTTCCCAATATGATACTTTGTTTGGAAACGTCAAGAAGTTATTGTACTGTTAACAGGGTGTCTCAAACATAAATACTGGCAGCATGAAATCAAACTAGATGGCAGCAACTCTAATGATACTTGAAGCTTCATGAAAAAAAAAAATAATAATAATAATCTGTAATAACTGTAATGTTACGTATAATATAATGTTTTAATATGCACAATGCTAAAGCTGTGCAAAAGTCAAATTTATGCAATCTCCAATGTTTTTTAAGGTGAAAACATCAGAGAACTGCACAATTCTTTCGTTATGCACATTAAATATTGTACCTATTCATAATACAATATAAACATTTGGAGTACATTTTCTAATTGGTGCTTCATTAACAGAAAAGTGGCAAAATTACTTATATGTTAAAAGAAAAGTGGCAAAATTACTTATATGTTAATCGACTTCTGGTTAATTTATAAGCAGCAGATTGACATAATCTGTCATGGCAGTGAATGTGTACTGAAAAAAGGCCAATTAATGATTATTCTGAAATTATATACTGTGTAATTATTTAAAGTTTATAATATTATAATTATCATTATTTTAAATTTATAGTATGTTGATGTATTTTAAAACCTCATGCATATATATTGAGTGGCAAAATGAGCTTATATGATAAATCTTTGCTACCAAAAATATTCTTTGATTATCTAGATACATACATATATATATATATATATATTTTTTTTACACACACCTACATACATATTTTATATATATACGGAAGTTGGGGCAAAAGTCATGGCAATTATTTTTTTTCTTGATACCAGTCCGGTTGAAAAATGTGAATATACAGACGAAAGGACAGGGTCTTAACTACATGTGTGGACAATGAATAGCACTAAAATATTGTAACACATGAATTTATTATGGTAGTATACAGGGCAATATAGCCTTCACCGTGCAAAAGAATGATAACACAATACACATAAAGCTGACATGACAAACCTGGGCTTAAAGACCCTACTACTGTCACCACACGCTGCTAACAATGTGGGAGGCGCTGAATACCATCAGCCTCAGCATTTGCCGCACCATGTGTGAATTGGGTCATCTGTTGGCGCACAGCACTAGCAATGTCCTCTCGTCTTTCAAACCGCCTACCACGTATTGGTTTCTTAATCTTGGGAATGAGATCTAAGTCACAGGGTGAAAGGTATACGGTGGGTGCTCCAGTTCTTCTCATCCCCAACATCGGAGTAGCTGACGTACACACTCTGCTTTATGTGGTCGTGCAGAATTATTGCACTGTCCACAAGATCTGGACGTTTATCCCGAACGCCATGTCATACCTGTTGCACCAGAAAGTCCCTGTAGTACTGTGCGGTCACTGTTCTGCCATGAGGAACAAAGTGGCAAACAATGACACCCCTGACGTCATACACGATGATCACCATCAATTTGACTGAAGAAGGATTCTGACGCTAGCACACTATGCAATATCCTGTGGACGGAGCGTTTCTCGATACCGTTTGCCCTCTCTAACTCCAGTAATGTCCATCGTCTGTCTTCATCCATGAGGTGCTCGATGACGGCACATGCCAAGTCGGTTCGCACACTCACCGGTCATCCCGAACGTTGCTCATCACTGGTTTATACATGTCCTTGCTGAAACTTTCCTACCCACCGTGCTACTGTACGATATGGTAGGGCATTATTCCCGAGGGCTTCTACTAATTCACTGTGACATTCCATCGCATTTCTCTCTTGGAGAACGGCTATTTTGATGTAAGCACCCTGCTCAACATGGTTACTTCCATCTCACACGGCACTCACCAACTGACTGATTTCAGATCCCTTTCTACCACAGAGCCAGTTATCACAGAGCCATCTGTTATTCTGCATACACAATATGCCTGCAGAACTTCCACACGAGATATATATGTTTTGTGATCCATTCACATATCTACAAGAAAAAAATAGTTGCCATGACTTTTGCCCCAACCCTCGTATATATACATATACAGTCAAAAGTCATTAATCCGGACTCGTCGGGACTTCGGCGCTTCCAGATTATCAATTTTTCCGGATTATAGATCATCAGTTTAAATCTGGTAAGATGGCATGCAGAAATTATAAAATTAAAAATGTGAAACCGTAATTTATGAAATAAAGAACAATTATGATATAAAGGGTATCAAAATTTAAAAAAAAAAAAAAAGCTTAATATTTATTTGTTTACTTTATTAAACATGTCTTTCAATGTAAGTTGTTTAAGTTGCTTCGTTTTATGTGATAATACTTTCTCTTTAATTCTATAAACAGAAATAATTTCTTGTTTAATAACAAAGTTCCGCTGTTCAAGTCCCGTAATTGCTGTGCCGAGAATACCGACTAACTTGTCAATCGAAATTTTTTCATTTTCACTAACCTCTCTGTCACCTTCTTCATGTCTTTATCCATTTTTTTTGCAGCAATTCCACTTTTTGTTTGATGGACATCGAAACATACTTTCGTTTTGTAGATCCTTTGGGAGCTCCAGCATCGGAAATTCTATTTGACATAATCGAAAGTTCAAGTTTACTTTTATAAAATTGCTCTTACAGTCTGCAAAAAATAATAAGCTGGATCCAATTCGAAGATTAAGGAACAGCGCAATCTGCAACATTAACTGAAATAGATAATTAGATAACTTTAGCTTATACTGTACGTTATACATAAAACGCGCACGCGAAAACGTATTCTGCGCTTGCGTACACGCATATGCACAGTCGTAAAGGTCTTACGCGCACGAGTAAACGCCTATGCGCATGTGTCAATGTGGCGCATGCGCAGAAAGTTTTTAGCTTTGAGGTCCGGATTATAGATCATTCCGGATTATGCGTGTCCGAATTAACAACTTTTGACTGTATATATGTAAAATATAAAAAATACGATGGCTTTGCTCTATGCGAACAGGCAAACTTCTAATTAACTTTCTGCAATTTCAGGATCTTCCCCCTAGACCAGTACTTTCGAGAACATTCTGGCATGTTATGTAATCGCTACAGTCAATTTTACCTTACTTCATTTATCCTCATAAAAGATGAACACAACACATTAACATTTTGATTTTATACTGCATATTCTATTACCTAGAAAAACTTGATAATTCGCAATGATAAAAATTTGATCAACTATCAGAATGAAGACACAGCTTCATGGTAACATGATTTTATTTTACATACACAAATAAAAAATATAAGTAAATTTACGTAGTAGGACCTCAGCAGAATATGCCGGTTCACGCACACACTTCCACACCTCTCCTTTCTCAACCGCCCAATTTGACGAAGTTTTTTACTGCGCTTCTGTGCCAAAATCCACGTTTGGCGAAATTCACAAACTTGGCATTTCTATCAGTTTTTTTAATCTTATACGTCCCTCCTTGGGAAGCGTATACGTCTCCTTAGAGACCATACGCACAGTCAAAAATCTAAGTTCACTGTTTATGTATCTCATAGTAAAATTATATCAGTTTCACTATATCTGCTTCACTGTACATGTTTCAACGTACCTGTTTCATTTTATCTCTGCACACACTCACAAAGTCCTACCCTAAATGTGTCATTAATTTGAAGTATACAAATTAGATATACAAAGACCTTTGCATTATATATGATAATATAACAACTTTATATGTAACTTTATATGTAGCACATTTACATCAAATACAATATACTATGTAAATTATCCATACGTATGTAATTTTTTCTAATACAGTACAACTATCGTATAATACATGCATGTTTCTATAAAATGCCAGACATTAAATTAGCTTGATTTATTCTGTATACCATGCTACCCAGTTGCTGAGTCAGAAAGTAATCTGCATAGAGCATCTGCGTTTCCGTGCTGAGGTACCTTTTGGTAAGAAATCTGTACGTTGTACCTTTGTAAGGCCAGTCCCAACACACGAGCTTGTCTCCATGTGGTTGAGATTGTGCTAAATACATCAGAGGATTATGGTCGGATATGACCTGGATTTCTGCTCTAAAAATCCATGTATCAAACTTCTTTAGAGCTGCCAAAACACTAGGCTTCTCTCTCAATTGTAGACCATCCGCTCTGATATGGTGTTAGTTTTCTGCTGAAAAATGCTATTGGGTGTTCCTTCCCTTGATCATCTGTTTGAGACAGACAAGCACCAATAGCTGTTGTTGACGTGTCGGTATATAATTGGCATGGTTTATTTAGTACTGGAGTAAACAGTGATGGGATATTGGAAAGTTTTTGCTTTAAGTTCTGAAAAGCTGTTTCTTCTTCATTGCCCATAGAATTTTAATGGGTACTCTCTTCCTTGTCAAATTCGTCAAGGGTAACACTAAAAGTGGCAAAATCTGGAATGTAATCACGATAGTAGCTGGCAAGGCCTAAAAATGCAGCATACTTCCTTTTTTATAGTCGGTCTAGGCATCTTCTTCATAGCTTCCACTTTTTCTGGATCTGGTGAATGTTTCCCAGAACCTATAATATAACCAAGAAAGTTCGCTTCCCTTTTTCCAAAATCACATTTTTCTAAATTTACAGTAAGACCTACTCTTCATAAGGTTTTAAATTCCTCTTTTACATGTTTTAAATGCTCCTTCTGGTCTTTGGAAAAAAATGCCAAATCGTTGATATACAAGCGACAGTACTTTTTACGTAAGCTTAAACCTTAATGGCTTAAAGGGCTTAAAACTTTGTCCATCTCTTTTTGAAATGTGCTTCCTGCATTTTTCATTCTATATGGTAATACTTTCCATTGATAATGGCCTGAGTGTGTGACAAATGCTGTGAAAT